GAGACATAAGACTGTTTTAAATAGTTCCCAACCTCAGGAAATTTAATATTTTGTGGTAGACAGACTTATATACTAGAAATAGAGACTAATACAGTGCTGACTCTGATTGCCAAAATACAAAATGGAAGAGAAAATACCAAAGTGAGCCAGAATTACACTGGAAATCTTTGTGAAAGACATGATATTTTAAAAGAGCTTTTAAAAAAAGAGATCTTAAATAGGTAGCAATAACAAAAATTTAAGCTTTATTAAATATTTTTAATTACAGGCATTTTATGTTATTCTGGTCATTTAAGTAAAGCAAGTAAAAGCAGAAGTTGAAGAAACGGAAAAAGGGGAATGAAAAGTAGCTACATTTTAATCTCAGTTACATCTCTCATTCCATTTGATTCATTAAGAATTGCCAGACCTGAGGTTTGCGGAGCCAGGATGAATGACATGTGTTCCCTGTAGTGAGCCAAACTTAAGTCAGTAAATCATCAAATGCTCACCTAGATAAAGGACATTACTTCCAGAATCCTGAAAGCCAGTGGCATGAGCAAAATCCATCCCAAAACTTACTTTTGTTTCTTAGGTCACTTTCCAGATGTAAGAGTGAGTTAATAGTTTCTAATACACAAGACCAGCGGGTTACATAACTGACCTGGCAAGAGGCTCCCCGAATGTTTTATTCTCTAGAAATTATAGAGAAATCCAAATTTATAATAACATGAAAGGCATATATCTGTGCTCTGATTAAAGCTGCCTCAAATCCTTTTCTCAGAATAAAAGAGGAATACATGAAAAACTATGCATAATGTTTACATGTCTGCTGTGTATAATTGTTTTCTTTTGATCTAATTTTATGTTTTCAACATGTAAAAAAATACGAATGTTTCCAAAGACAGAATTAGATAACAAGGGACATTCAGAATAAGTCCTTCTTCCATCCCTGTTCCACCATGTTCTCTTTCTTCCCCCAGATAAATATATAATTGTTTCCATTTATATGTCCAGTGTATCTTTTCAGAAATATAAGCAAAATACACACATGCACACAGAACCATATTCATAGTTCTCTCCCTTTTCACCCCCAAAGATCTCATACCATTTAGTGGTTTTACACCTTGATTTTTTCATTTACTAAAATTTTCAGCAGATCATTCCATATCAGTATGCAGAGATCTTACCCCTTCCTCTTTACAGCAAAACATTTTGAAGCATCTGTGTGGTCCCTTTAAAAATATTATTAGAGGGGCTGGCCCAGTGGTGCAGTGGTTAAGTGTGCACATTCTGCTTCGTCGGCCAGGGGTTCGCCGGTTCGGACATGGCACCACTTGGCAGGCATCTCACATATAAAATAGAGGAAGATGGGCACAGATGTTAGCTCAGGGCTAGCATTCCTCAGCAAAAAGAGGAGGATTGGCAGCAGATGCTAGTCCAGGGCTGATCTTCCTCAAAAAAAAAAAAAGAAAGCCTGTAATGTAAAAAAAAAAAAAGCCTATTTGTTAAATAAGTTGTTATACTAAATACACGACATAGGATAATTAGATGTGACCAATGTAGATAAGTCCATAAAGTCAATCTTACACAAACCCATACGGCATCTACTTCCAGACCATGTCTATTGCTGCAATTCCAATCTGACACCACTGGGCTCCTCAAGTCAAAGACATCTGAATTACAGAGTTCTAGAACTAGATGATCATAAACGTGATCTTTTATTCTGTCCTTTGCAGCAGACGTTCCTTGGGGGTAAATTGGACATATTCGTTTAAGATCAATTCCAGTAAAAAAGTAAATCGGACTGTACGTAACTTTTAGTTTCTCTTTTTGTGCTAGCTTCTTCAAAAATTGGAGTTAATAACTTTAAGCATCAAATTAGTATATTGCTGGTCATTTATGAAATTGTTTGGGGAAGAATAACTTTATTCTCTGAAATCGATGCTAACTTGCACTTCTAATGAAGTTTTGTAAATATTTTTTACTTATTTTTAAGATTGGCACCTGAGCTAACTCCTGTTGCCAATATTTTTTCTTCTTCTTCTTCTTCTTCTTCTCCCCAGTGCCCCCCAATACATACTTGAATATTCTAGTTGTGAGTGCATCTGGTTGTGCTATGTGGGACACCACCCCAGCACGCACGGCTTGATGATTGGTGCCGGGTCCGTGCCCAGGATTCGAACCAGCGAAACCCTGAGCCACTGAAGCTCAGCACGTGAACTTAACCACTCAGCCAAGGGGCTGGCCCCTGTAAATATTTTTTAAAAGACTTTCTTTTTATAAACTTATATATGCCCATTGTGTTGAATACAGAAAAGTATGAAAGGAAAGTAATAACACTAAGCAAGGAGAACTAACCACTGTTAATAGTTGAGCTTATTTTCTTCTAGCATGTTTTCCTAGATGTGCATATTTTTTTCTTACACTGTTGTGTGTAGAGTCTGTAAATCTTGTAATGATCTTTGGCCAAAAGCAATCAAATCTATAAAGACTTTGTAAATTGAAGATAAACCTGTACCTTCTAAAAGAACATTCTCTGAATCTAACTTAAATGACTTTATGATCTCTCTTGGGTTCTGGGTAATTTAGAAAACTTCCTAGTAATTATCGTCACTTATATTCTGGAGTCATCTTTTCAACAATCACTAAGTTAAAAAGAGGAAGAGAGAGAGAGGCCAAAAACTCCCTTTGAAATCTGTTATCTGATTTTGACTCTGACAGAAATAAATAATTAAATGTCCCATTTGCTTCCACATGGCTATTATGTGATGGAAATCCAGAGGCCTTTCAAATCTAAAAAGTGCTCTTTGCCATAATCAAAGATAACTCTATTAAATCACTCATTAAAAAAATACACTTTTAGAATACTCAAACGAGGACGATGACCTTGCATTGATTCACTAGCACTTTCTCACCATGCCTCCTTAAGATGGAAGGTGTGCAGTTGCATCCGTCAGCAGCAGTCAAGTGGCCCGTCCTTGTCCTGGGACCAACCAAAGCACACTGGACTTGACGAGGATCGATTGAGGACCTCATCAACCCCACACTCCAGACAAAGGTCAGTGTAATTAGATTGCTTTAAGTAAAATGAGCCGCCACAGAAACCTAGCCTAACAGAATGGATAAACCTTAAGATGATATTTGCTTAAGAACAGAACTCCTTCCCAGAGAATTCCTTTAAATAACAAACTCTCAGTATATTTAAAGTCAGATTTGACTATCTTAAAACACACCTTTCAGGAACTTCTATTGAGGAGATCCTGTACACAAGAACTTCCTGTTTTGCTTGGAAGTCCTTTAAATAATATTTGACACATTTAACACAATAAATAATTACCAAAATTTCATTTTAATTATAGGGGATTTAATTTGAGGTTACATGAGAGCTACAAGGTAAATTAGCTTCCTAATTCTCAAGGCCTTGTTCAGACTATGTAGAATTTTAAAAGATCTCTTTAAAGGCATAAAACATGGAAAACATTTAATACTTTTGAAGAGTTTCAAATAATTATAATAATAATAAGTAAAAATTCAAATAACTGAAATCCTTGAACGGGGACGTTGAGGTCTCAAGCTTACTATAAACACAAGCTTTACAAAGCTAAATGCGAGGTAAGACGCTCATTCTTAGGTGCAAAATTACTTTATTACTTTTAATGATAAATTACTTTAATTCATCATGCTAAATAAACTTTAAAAGATGAATGTTGGCGGGGGGGTGCAAAATAATATAAGCAGGATAGGCTACATAATTTGCCGGGCCCCTGTAAAAAGTAAGAATTTCAAGAGAGCAACAGCAGAGCGTTAAGCAAAAGACAGGTCCTTCTGCGCACAAGGTCCAGATCCCCCCATGCACCCGCTGCGTCCATGGGGCGCTTTTCCTTCACCCGGGCCTCAACCCTTCCGTCCCAGTGCGCTGCGCGCAGAGATGGATATTAGCTTTGCTGTCATACTGTGAAGTTTTAAGTAAAACTCTCCGCACAGCTATTATTTATCCTGCAATCACTGGGCACAGTATTATAAAACAGATTTTTCTTTCTTTCCCTTTGTTTATCTAAAAGAGACAGACTTTTCGAGGTTTTGTTTTTTGTTTTTACAACAGTGGTGCCCTGAGGAGAATCTCGGCTCACTGTTAGCCCACTGTGCTGGAGGCAGACGCGAGCGCCCCAACGGGCGGCCGGCCCCGCCGGGGCGCCTGCAGCGACCGGTCCCTGCGGCCCTCTGCGCATTCTCCCTCGGGCACGCGGGTCACCATCGCCTCTGGTCACCCTGAGAGAGATGCTCCCTGCGCGGCGACCTGTTCTCGGTCTCTCGCGCCCGCCTGGAGCGGTACCTCCATCTCTCCCGAGCCCCGAGTTCCCTAGGTGGGCCCGAAGCACGCTCCCCAGCCCCAGCCAGGAACTGTCTCCTCCGCCCGCCTCGACGCGGCGACTCCGGCGGGGTGGGGCAAGGGGCATCCCAAACCGCTCCCTCTCGGCCCCTGCGCGCCCCGATGCCTCCTGCGCGTCCGCCCTCACTTCGCCTGCCCGGCGGCCCGTCTTCCCCACGCCCCGGCCCTTCCCGGGACCGCGCGGGGACCCCGGGCCCGGCCGCAGAGCTCGAGCGGCCCCGGGGCCTCCCGATGGCTCGCTGCGCCTGCCCACCGGGCTCCCCGCACCGCGCGCCGCTCCCGGCCCCGCTTCCCCCGCAGGCTCGCGCCGCCGCCCCTCGGCCGGCCGGGAACCGCGGCGAGTCCCACCCCGCGCGCCCCCGGCCGCGGCCGAGCAGCGGCAGCCCGGCGGCCTGTGCGTGCGCAGCGCCCCCCGCGGCCGGGCCGAGCGCAGGCGGCGGGGAGGGAAG